GGCATGGGGTTAGCGTCCCCATCCCGTAGAAACCTAACTTGCTAAAAAAACGCTAACCAGAAAAAATAACTCAAACCATTTAAACCCTGCCCTGGGAGTTAGAGGTAATATGACGCTTCATGGTGAAAGCCGAGTTCCTTCGGAAGCCACGAGGCCGATGCCCCTTCTAACAACCAGAGCAACAATTTTTATAGGTATATGGAACGTCCGGACAATGTGGGAGACCGGGAAGACCAGTCAAATAGCAACGGAAATGAGGAGATACAACTTGGCAGTACTGGGAATCAGTGAAACCCATTGGACCCAAGCTGGACAACAAAGGCTAAATACGGGAGAGATGCTGCTATACTCCGGTCACGAAGAGGAAAATGCTCCACACACTCAGGGAGTTGCTCTAATGCTATCCAAAGTAGCACGAAATGCACTTGTAGGATGGGAATCTCACGGATCCAGAATCATCAAAGCATCATTCAAAACAAAGAAGGAGGGGATCACAATGAATATTATCCAGTGTTATGCATCCACCAATGATAGCAACGAAGACATCAAAGATCAATTCTGTGAGAGGCTGCAGTCAACCATAGAGAAGTGCCCAAGAAAGGACCTCACCATTTTGATGGGGATCTAAACTCAAAAGTCGGAATAAACAACACCGGATGTGAAGATATCATGGGAAAACATGGACTAGGAGAGAGAGAGAGAGAGAGAGAGAGGAAAATGGGGAAAGATTTGCGAATCTCTGTGCATTCAACAAATTGGTCATATGCGGCACAATATTCCCACACAAACGTATACATAAAGCTACATGGATCTCACCGGACCACACCTCAGGGAACCAGATAGGTCATATTTGCATCAACAAAAAGTTCCGAAGGACAATGGAAGATGTGAGAACCAGAAGAGGGGCTGACATAGCTTCAGATCACCATCTGGTTGTGGCCACTTTAAAACTGAAGCTAAAGAAGAACTGGACAACTGGACAAACAGCACTACAAAGGTTCAATACAACCTTTCTTCGAGATACTGACAAACTCAATAAATTCAAGATAGCTCTCAACAACAGCTACCAAGCCTTACAGGATCTACTGAAGGAAGAAGAAACTACTATGGAGGACAACTGGAAAGGTATCAAAGAAGCATTAACTTCAACGTGTCAAAAGGTTTTAGGCCTCAAGAAGCATCATCATAAGGAATGGATCTCTATAGAAACACTGGACTGGATCAAAGAAAGGAAGAACAAGAAGACGGCAATTAATAACAGCCGAACACGAACAGAGAAGGTTCAAGCACAAGCTGAGCACATAGAAACGAACAAGCTAGTGAAGAAGAGCATTAGAACCGGCAAGCAGAAATACGTGGAAGAACTAGCAACGACGGCGGAAAAAGCTTCAAGAGAAGGAAATATGAAACAGCTTTACGATACGACGAAGAAGCTTGCAGAGAAATACAGTAAACCAGAGAGACCAGTCAAAGACAAAGAAGGAAGACCAATCACTGAGATTCAACAACAGCGCAACAGATGGGCAGAGTACTTCGAGGAACTCCTGAACAGACCGGCTCCAATGAATCCACCGGACATCGAAGCAGCACACACAGATCTTCCTATAAATGTCAATCCACCAACGACAGAAGAAATCAGAATGGCCATCAGACAAATCAAGAGCGGGAAAGCAGCAGGACCTGACAATATACCAGCTGAAGCGTTGAAGTCAGACATCAAAGTAACTACAAGCATGCTTCATCTTCTATTCAAGAAGATTTGGGAGGAGGAACAAGTGTCCGATGGATTGGAAAGAAGGACACCTCATCAAGATTCCAAAGAAAGGAGATCTGAGCAAGTGTGAAAACTACAGAGGCATTACACTACTGTCAATACCGGGTAAAGTCTTCAACAGAGTGTTACTGAACAGGATGAAAGGCGCAGTTGACGCTCAACTTCGAGATCAACAAGCTGGATTCCGTAAGGACCGGTCGTGCACAGACCAGATTGCGACACTACGGATCATCGTCGAACAATCAATTGAGTGGAACTCGTCACTCTACATCAACTTCATTGATTATGAGAAGGCATTTGACAGTGTAGATAGGAGGACGTTATGGAAACTTCTTCGACACTACGGAGTTCCTGAGAAGATTGTCAACATTATCCGGAACTCATACGACGGACTACAGTGCAAAGTAGTGCATGGAGGACAGCTGACAGACGCATTCCAAGTAAGGACCGGAGTAAGACAAGGCTGTCTACTCTCTCCCTTCCTGTTTCTTCTGGTGGTCGACTGGATTATAAAGACCTCGACATCTGAGAGAAACTACGGCATACGATGGACAGCTCAGAACCAAATAGACGATTTGGACTCCGCAGATGACCTAGCCCTCCTACCGCATACCTGCGAAACAAATGCAGATAAAGATAGCCAGCATAGCAGCAGTCTCTGCATCAGTAGGCCTCAACATACACAAAGGGAAAACCAAGGTCCTCAAACACAACACGGAGAACAGCAATCCAATCACTCTTGATGGCGAAACTCTGGAAGACGTGGAATCCTTTACATACCTGGGAAGCATCATCGATAAACAAGGAGGTTCAGATGCAGACGTCAAGGCGAGGATTGGCAAAGCTAGAGCGGCATTCCTTCAATTGAAGAACATATGGAACTCAAAACAACTTTCAACCAATATCAAAGTCAGAATCTTCAATACGAACGTCAAGGCAGTTCTACTGTACGGAGCTGAAACTTGAAGAACTACAACAACCACCATCAAGAAGGTACAGGTATTTATTAATAGCTGTCTACGCATGATACTCAACATCCATTGGCCGGATACCATCAGCAACAACCTTTTGTGGGAGAGAACCAACCAGCTTCCCAATGAAGAGGAAATTAGGAAAAGACGATGGAAATGGATAGGACATACATTGAGGAAATCATCAAACTGCATTACGAGACAAGCGCTAATTTGGAATCCTGAAGGGAAGCGGAAAAGAGGAAGGCCAAAGAACACATTACGTCGGGAAATAGAAGCAGACATGAAAAAGATGAATAAGAACTGGAAAGAGCTTGAAAGGATTGCCGAGGACAGGGTTGGATGGAGAATGCTGGTGAGCGGCCTATGCTCCTTCACGAGGAGTAACAGGCGTAAGTAAGTAAGTAAGTGTCTACACAAGATATTCAATTTCGGTTAACCGCATATTATCAGCATACAGTCTATTGTGTAGAAGAACAAACCAGCTTCCTGATGAAGAGCAAATTAAGAAAGAACTAATGAAGTAAATAGGACATATACTACGAAAACCATCACACTCTATCATGAAGCAAGCAAAATGTACCTGTATTCTTTGAGAGAACTGGTGCTCCCTGGTGGATTTGATCCCGTGTTACCCAGCTTCACAGTTACCACTGAGCTAAACCGGCCGCAACCGACCTCCTGTAGGACTGAGATGTAATCACAATTGATTGATCACTGGGTGGTGATCAATCAATTGAGAATACGTCTATTTTCTGCAACCACATTTACTGACTATCATGACATTCGAATTTTAATATTCCTCTTAAAATTGACTGGATAATATAAACATTATTCATCATGTGGTGTGTGCTACTGATATCGATAAATATAAGTAGTATATGTTATTAAACGAAAGTAAAGTGCCTGGCGGCAGAAGGTTAAAAAGATCGGAGAAAAGAGAATTTGAACAAAGAATGATTGCTATAGAGATGAAGGAACAGTGAAGTTTGAGATGATTGATTAATATTTTGCAAATCCAGTATTTACTGTATAGTTCTTAGATGTTACTAAGATATTCTTCAAGGTTGTGTTTGAATACATTCAGTTGTTCCCATTGGTGTTCTCGTTCACTACAGTGCCTAGGAATGTCGTATGAAATTGTTTTTTTTTTTGTAAAAATCCTGAAAATCAATTTGTTCTAAGACTTATCAAGTAACAACTTATTCATAAGTGTTATAACTATGTATGAGTAAAATGGTCCTGATGTTGTTCCATTGACTATTAGATTACACCTTAAGGTCGAAGGCTCCGGGTATGGCCTCCTAAGAAAACAATATGTATCGGTCTACGCACCCGAGTAGTATCACAGCTTTTGAGACAAATCAATGACAACTGCTACTGGCCTCATTATTAATGGTGCCACCATATACCAGTATTTATGTGTTCGAATATATAATAAATAAATATGTATATCGTTTATATCAAGAGATACAAATTAATCAGTCTCATATGACAGATGAGGGAATATTCTCTGTGTTGCTATTTACTTACTTACCTACTTACTTACTTACACCTATTACCCCTTCCAGAGGAGTATAGGCTCTCTGTTATTTAGTCACTAGTTTTCACTAAATCAGAATGGTAACAAGTAATGGAACCAGCCCCCCCCTTTAAAAAATCGCGTGTTTTGTCACATATCAACAGTAATATAAACTATTGCATATATTGACACATCAATTGACAGATTCACATACATCTGATTCACTAGTCCCATATAGAAAAAAGCTAGATTCCTGGATTCCTTAAATGGCTACCATTAAATCTGCTTAATTTCGTTTTTCACAATTAAAAAAACTAAAGAAAACTAAACAAAAAACATTAATATCAGAAGGGGTTTGGTGGATATTGTAGTAATCTCAATGGTTAAGATCATAAATCAGTTGAAGCTAGATCACCGTGGAAAACTTGGAAGCACTGGACTGCCATTTCGTCCAATTATGGGACTCCTCAGCAGTGCGCATCCACGACCTCGCCCCCTACGAGATCCGAACCCACGACCTACTAATTTCGCGCGCGAGCACTCAACCACTACACCACTGAGCTGGCCGGCATCCAACGGTGTTATTGTCTAACTTCAACTAATCCACCATTGTCTTCAGTGAGTTACTATCTCACAACAGGCCTGGTTGGACTCCACTGGTCACTACTTTTCACTAGAACTCCAGAATATACATTAACACTAAATTCAAATAAAACAGGAGTTTACTGTTTACCTGTTCAATCCATACATTTAATGTAAGTACCTGATTTACTTCATCCTATAAAACAAAGAAACAAAAAGTAAACTTAATCTATAGTTACATTGTGAATAAAGATTTTTTAAGCTCGAATTAATGACTAACATTGACGATAGAAAAATGGAGAGACATGTAACTTTGTTAGCCTTTGACATTTGATGCTGACTATATTAGTTTTAATGGACTCATCTAGCTGAAGGCGCTCGGTCATGCATCCGTATCAGATCACGAATGGGTACACTGTGCTCAACTTCTCCTACAAGCTATAATTAGTTTAGATCGTTCATTAGATGGTGGTTGGAGGTAGTTGACAGGAAACCCTGGACCCGGGTTTCGTGCTACTTGGCACTCGTCAGTAAGGTGTACCTGTAACCGCAGTGTCGAGTCACCTAGATTGGTAGCCACATTACGACATGGTTGATAGCATTCGATCTGCACATTGGTCACCACCCAGTGATCAGTCAATTGTGATTAGATCGTTCATTTCACAATATATTGATAGTCTATCAGATATATCACTGAGCTTCTTTGCTTTGGTAGTTATTTAGCACTCTACCCAATAAATTGGTTTTAACTTAAGTTAAATATTTAATCGTTGAATTCATAGGTTGATTAAAGCTAGACCACCATGAAAAACCTGGAAGAATTATGACGGCCGTTTCGTCCTAGTATGGAACTCAGCAGTAAGCATCCATGATCCCACGAACCTAGGACCTTTGGCTTTGCACTAGAACACTTAACCTCCAGACCACTGAGATGGCCACCAATTGTGTTAATGTCTAACATTAACCCATACATGGAATTGCGCCACAGTCCACCATTGTCTTCAATCGGCAACTACTTCACAACAGACACATTCGATCTTTACTGGTCACGGCTTCTCACTAAATAATTATACAGAATTCTATCTCACTAACTAAATATGTTGTGCTTACTATCAAATCAGAACATCTTCAATTATGGTCACTTTGCCATAAGTTTCTTTGATCTTTACAGACATGTAATCGATATTAAATTCAACCTATTTCCTCTAGCGTCAAGTTTATGACTGTCTGTACATATAAATCCGATATGTAAATCATTATATATATCTCTTAATGAATTCTACTTGTATTCAACTTGTAATTTGAAATAAGTATAGGCATGTAGTGTCAGTTACTACGTTCAGCTCATATACCTTATTCTAACTTTCGAACGGGCCAATTTATTCATTCTTCCTGAGTAACGTGTTAACCATGTCAATTGTTCACATGTCAACCCTGACTACTTTTATATGAGCTTATGTGTGTGTGTGTACACTTCTTATCCTATTCAGAACAGATCTGTAGCTTATTTCTATGTGACTATAAATATTGATTAATGCTTGGTTAATTGGGAGTTGGCTCACTTGCCTTCTCCACTGCACAAATCTGTCAATTAATGAAAATTACACATATAAACCATTATAAGTCTGATGAATTATCTAGAAGATAAACAGTCAAAGGACTTTTCGTCCTAATGTGAGACTTATGTACATGGGACTCGAGCACAGGACCTTCAGTTTCAGGGGCTCGAACACTGAATCTCTAGACCACTGGGCTGGTATCCAAACGTGTTAACGTCTACCTTTGTTATTATTGTGATTATTAATATTAACTTTATTCAATATTATATTTTTGGTACAATATAAAATTCTCAGCACGATGTATTTCAAGTTTTTTTTTCTTATTTTTTGATCGGTCTTTGAGATAAATGTTGAATGGTCGCCAGTTATGTGTTAGTAGTTTAGGAATCAACTTCCGAATAATTTATCTTCTTTTCGATGTATATTGCCAGCAACCAAGAATTCTCTGATTGGGCTGTTTTGTAACTTGTACAGCAAAATGCGGTAAACATTTCTCAAACTCAACTGAATAGGTTATGAAACTAATAGGTATAATGATGTATTAAGACAAACAAACAAGAAAACAGATAACTTGTTGAAATATCTAGATGGCAGGATCAGGTAGCCCAGATATTCAGGCAGACCGCCTTGGATCAATGTATGATTTTGCGTAACACTTCATCCATTGTCTTAAGTGAATAACTATCTCACACTCGGCACAGATTCAGTCAGTCAGTAACAATGTAGAACTTCATCAGTTCGAGTTGACATATCACATTAGTACAGAGATGCAGTTGTCAATTCATATTGGACAGATTGGATTACACTATTCATGACTTCTCATCAGAACTTTAATACTTTCAGGTTTACAATAGTAATCTAGCTTCAATGGACTTGTGAATTCAACTTTGAAAAGACTATAATTACCATAAATCCCCTAAATTTCTAGCATGAAAATGTTTCAACCAATCAGAGTAAAGTAATAGAATATAAACAAATGAAATCAACCAATCAGAAAATAGGGAAATGTTTTTTAATCATAACGATGAAAATCAATCAGTAAGATATTTTTGTTAGTGATTTCCTAGAAAGATTTAATCATCAAACATATCTAACTCTCAATGATTAAGATCATGAGTCAGTTGAAGCTAGATCAGCATGGAAAAGCTGGAAGCAATGGACGGCCGTTTCATCCAATTGTGGGACTCCTCGGCAGTGCACATCGACGACCTCGCCCCCTACGAGATTCCAACCCAGGACCTATCAGTCTCGCAACAGGCGCTTAACCAACTAGACCACTGAGCCGGCATTCAACTATTGAAATTACCAATTCTCCACAAAACCCCTTCTAATAAAAAGAAATAATTGACGAAACTATAGTTTATGGACTAACCAATCAGATTAGGGATAACAGGTCTTGAATTTCGGCGCAAAATTCATTAACCCATTTAGCTAAAATAGAGTTTTTTGGCATTATAGCTAATATCAGTTCATGATGAAAATCCTAAACCTAATACTTAACCTTAACCATCAACTGTAAATGATAATTTGAATAACTTCAAACAGGTTTATAACCCTGGTTATTAAGTGGATACTCTCAAATTCATTCTAGCGTCCCTCAAATATCGTTCATAAATTATAGTCTCATCATTGATTCAATTTCGTTTATAAACTGTGATATTTAAAAATGGATTTAGATTACTCGTAAGGAAGAGTTTAGTTGGAAGTTATGTTAAAGACACATTACTATAGTAAGAGTGTAAATAAATTGAATACACTGAATATTGTATATTTGTGTACTACGTAAAAGAACATTCTATAACATTAATTGTGATATGACTTCAAAGAGTCAGAAACAAACAATTACATGATGAGTAAACGTTAATCAGTATAAAATGAATAAAGCTCAGTTAATAAAATAAGATTAGTGATCTGGAACATCATCGATGAACGAGGAGGTTTAGATGTAGACTTAAAGTTGAGGATTGTAAAAGGAAGAATAGCATTCCTACAATTGAAGGACATATGAAACTCAAAACAACTGTCTGTCAACCAATATCAAAGTCAAAATCTTCAATACGAACGTCAAGGCAGTTCTACTGTACGGAGCTGAAACGTGGAGAACTAATACAACCATCATCAAGAAGGTACAAGTATTTATCAATAGCTGTCTACGCATGATACTCAACATCCATTGGCCGGATACCACCCGCAACAGCTTTCTGTGGAAAAGAACAAACCAGCTACCATTTGAAGAGAAAATTACTAAAAGACGATGGAAACGGATAGGACACACATTACAGAAATCACCAAACTGCATCACGAGACAAGCCCTAACTTGGAATCGTGAAGGGAAGAGGAAAAGAGGAAGGCCAAAGAACATATTCCATCGAGAAATAGAATCAGATATGAAAAGGATAAATAACAACTAGAAAGTAGTTGAAAGGATTTCCCATGACAGAGTTGGATGGCGAGTGCTGGTGGGTGGCGTATGCTCCTCCACGAGGAGTAACAGGTGCAAATAATTAATCTGTAAGATAGTCGAAATAAATAGATATTGTGATGTAATAAATGCAAGAGAGTTTAAAAAGTGTTTCCAAATGCAACAAAGGAATATTTCTCTTCAAAGTATGCAAAGATTAACAACTATCTCCCTTTGAACTGATAAATTAAGTTTTCGACGGTTGATAGTTAGGGCTTCAGTAATCTTTAAAAGATTATTCTTCACATTTGAAGATTCCAAGACATCGACCTGATGTCTTGTGTCCAAAAAATGCTTAAACTTGTTCTTCCTCTAAGACTTTTTAGAACATGTTTAAAATATCTAACATATTCTCTTTCTTCTATTCTGCCTATGTATCTGCTTTGGTAGGTAAATGTTAACTTATAAACATAGTTGATGGTAACATGAAAGTGATGGTTTTTAACCTTTGGTCGAGTTATTGAACATATTACTTAATATAGAAATAATACTTTACCGGCTGGGTAAGTTCTGGCTAGTACAGTGTTAGGCCTTCTGATGATTGTGCTTCCAGCATAAGATAAATTTATTTACACTCTTACTATACTGTATTAATGTGTCGTCAACATAACTTCTAACTGATGTAAACCCATTATGCAATTACAGTTTTGTAAACATCAAAGGTTATAAGCGGTTGATGAGAACCAAACGAAATAGAATGAATTCATGCTTATTTATTTATTTATTTTAACACATAGATATCGGTACAAGAAGGCACCAAATACATATGCGCCACACAAATCTCATTTGATATGTGTGAGGGCTGTGATACTGCCCGGGTGCCCAAACCGAAGCAGGTGGTTTTCTTAGGGGGCCACACCCCGAGCCTTCAACCTAATCGTTTGATCCACAAGGCAGTGGAGCATCGTGAGGAGATGCAGTCCCATGGTAGCCGGTGACCAACGATTGGTTCATACGCCATTTGTTCCCGCAGGATACTGGAGCCCATGTGCACCATTGATTTGGGATCCGGTTATAGCGCCGGACATTCGCTTTTCGTCCTCTCATTTTCGTAAACAACACCCCCGCCACGAGAAGGCAGTGAGTAGGACTTCCCTGGCAGGGGCTGTATACGCGTGGCCATGTGAGAGCATTTCGAGAGGAGGAGCGGACTCCCCCCACTCTCGGCCATACCAGGGCTAGAATCTTTGTTCTTATCAACTAACTTTATTATTATTATTATTATTATTATTATTATTATTATGAA